CATAAGAATGTTCCATATACAAATATATCTGTTACCTTAACAAGACTCTCTTCTCTTATACATACAATAGCCCCCATGGCCCTTCTTTATAGATTTGAGACAAACATAAATAAGAAAAACTTCATAATCTAAGCATCAATCAAATCTCTAATAAAATCCCCTAATCAACACAATAATCAGCGCCCTAATTAATAAATTAATTAGCTATCAAAGCTTTCAAATAAAAGCTTATTTAATTTGGAAAGGTTTCCAAATCAACACTTTGGGGGTCATGGAGAGTTGAAATAAAGTGTGGATCAAAATATTTCATTCCCATATTTGATGACTACTCAAGAGAGGTTTGTGTGTATTGCCTTGAAAGCCAAGGGCCAAGCACTTGATACCTTTAGGATTGGATGGAAGTCTTTGAGAATCAAGTTGGTAATAGAATAAAGAGATTATAAACTGATCATGGACTTGAAGATTGTTCACATTTGTTTGATAAATAGTTCTGAAAATCGCAAAATAAGATGGATTGTTGAAAGGATGAATCGAATATTGCTTGCAAGGGTTCAGTGAGTGCTATCGAGTGCTAAATTATCAAGAGCGTTTTGGGTCTAAATATTAAAACAATTCATCGGCTATTTAATCAATAGATACCCAGATATCTGTAGGAGTTCAAACACTTGCGGAGGCCAATCCGGATGCGTCATGTCACCCAATGTATTCTGCATGTAGCGCGTCCGTATTAGCTTGTGGACAAATCTGGACACCGCACGTAATAATTTTTTCATCTGTAGCATTAAATTTCAATACTCTATAAGTGAGAATCTTTTAATTAAAAGGCAATATAAATTTTTTTTTGTTTTGTTTTTTAATTACACGCAAGAATTATTTCCTTTATCTCCAATCTTTATCTTTTGCCTTGCCACGTATCATCATTTGTGGCTAAAAATTTCTTTATTTGGTAAGAAAATGAATAGATAGGGCAGTAGTGCTTGTCATTGATCACAAATCACCGCATCGTGTGGTCGAGATTAAATCATTGCATTAATCATGTACGGTTAATGATGAGCTACATCTTTAGACGGAAGGCCAGAAAAGGTGCGAGGACGGCGTGTTAATACTTAATAGCACTGCGGATAGAGAATCATTAACTTTGATGAGAAAGTGGACTAAATGTTTAAATTCAAATCAGAGTAAGTTCGCATTAGAGCTTAAAATGAATAGATTTTGACCAAATCGTCCGATCATAATTAAGGATGAATTTTTTATGATGCGATCTTCATTGAGATTTCGATCGAGACGGTATTTTTATTGATTTATAAATATAATTTTTTATATAAAAACTTATAATTAAAAAAAAAATTACTAAAAAAATGATTTAGAAAACAAGAAAAAAAATTGTCTAAAATGAAACTTGAATTTGATTTAGATCACATTGTTATTGATGTGTCACCAAAAGTATGCATTGATTGGGCACGAATCTTGATCTAAATATGAGATTGAGGCTCCAAAAAATTAAAATCGAGATCATCTAATCTCCAATTTTAGTAAACTTATAGTCAAATTGAACATCTCAAGAAGATGAACCCAACAATATCAAATTCGATCTAATGCAAGCCCAAATGAGCTCAAATCAAAGGTCTAAAGTCTATTTGAAAGCTTCAGAGTATTAATTGGTCAACCATATGATATCCAAATATGACATACTTATAGTCGAATTAAGCAACTCAATGAGACAAATCTAACGAACGCATGATCGCTCAATTCTGATATCTCTAAGGCATCTAAATGCTTGATAAATACTTTATGATCAAGTGGATCACTATTAGCCGTCCGAACACTCCCAGTATTCCCTTAATATTTTCTATATTTAATAGTCATGCCACTTTAAAAAAATTATAAATATCGCATCATTCTTCACATGAGCGAGGAGGAGAAAAGAGGAAGGAAAGAAGAGAAAGAAGAACAAAATTTGAAGAACTATGAAGCTGAAGCTCCACCCCGCACCACTAAAGGATCAATATTATTTTTTTAAAAAATAATTAAAAATAAAGATCAAAGCTTTTAGGATATATAAAATAATTTATTAATAGGAATCGATATAGTATAATCGATGTTGCTTTTTAATTGAAACTCTTACGGTCTTACCGACAATATTTTTTTGTTTTTTGGTTCCTCGTCCAAAAGCCGAGGCTTGCGAAACTGAAACTTTGCATGCGTGACGACCTTATACAGTCCATTTAGTCAAAATCTAATCATATTAAGCACTAACCAAAACTTATTTTAGTTTGAATTTAGCCATTTAATCCACTTTCTTATTAGATATTTCCTTCGAAGTATGAAATCGTCACGCATGCAAAATTTCAAAAATTTTGTAACATCTTTATAGCCACAACAAGGTTTTGTCATTTGCAAGCTTATAACATTTGCATTATGATGTAACGACACTGAAATCGGTTCGATCCGAGCCCAAATGAGTACAAACCAAGAGACCAATCCGTATTGGAAGGTTCAAAGCATTAATTGGATGGCCAAACAATATCTAAATATGGCATGCTTATGATCTAATAAAGCGGCGCGGCTCGACGAGACAAATCCAACGAGCTCAAGATAACTTAATTCTGACATCACTAAGTCATTAAATGCTTAAAAAATGCTCCATCATCGAATGAATCATTATCGGCCATCCAATGGAGCACTATGAACTAGCCTAGGATATATATTCTCCATATTTACATAGTGTATCACTTGCAAAAATCATTAAATAGACCTCCACACTCTACATGAAAAGGTGCTTGGACTTTTGCAAGTATGTGCTTTTAGATGGAGATTAAAGATAGCTATTAGGCTTCAAATATGAAATCCTTAAATAAAAGAAGCTAAACTCTTAAATATTGAGGCATCTTTTAGTATAATGGCTAAAATTCATTAAGAAACACTACTTAACTTACAAATGGTATCATAACAATACACCAACTAGAAAATGGAAATTAAGTGTCATAGTGTCATGCCATGAGAGTCACATCTTGAACCTTGTATGAGACAAAGTACTACGTGAAGAGAGTCACAACTTGAACTTGTAAAGGTCGCCTCTAGAATCCTATCTGTCTGATGAATGATTCTGGGATTAAAATAATAACGCTGACTTTAGTTACTTAAATGGAGGAGATTATGAAATCCATTGAGTAAAAGAAGCTAAACTCTTAAATATCGAAGTGCTTTCTGGTATAATCGTCAGAATTTCATTAAGAAACTCCGCAATTAAACGTGCTTATCCAAAAGAAATGTTGGGATGGGTGATATCCTAGGAAGTTACATCAACAAGACAAAACAATGAGGGCCTTCGACCAAAGCGAAAAAAATCTCAATAGTTAAAAATTTGGACTGTTACATCAAGGATCCAAGAGTTCTGCCTATGCGCCACCACCAGACAATTGCCTAGCCGCTGATCGTCACCGGATCACCGCCGACCTTTGACAATTGTCCGACCACAGCCCATCCTCTGATCATTGCTCAACTATTATCCCTCTGACCACCGTCGCCAACTGACTATAGTCCTTCCGACCACTGTCACCCTTCAACTACAGTCCTCTCCAACCATCATGACACGTCAAGTATGGTCCCTCTGACCATCGTTGCATGCTGACTGCTATCCCTCTGACCATCATTACATGCTGACTATGGTCTCTGACCACCGTCGTCCACGGACTACGATCCCTCCACCCACCGTCGCCCGTCAACTATGATTCTCCGACCATTTTCGCTCGTCAACTACAGTCTCTCTGACCATCGTCACTCGACTATGACCTCTTAGACCTCCGTCACCTAATTACGATCCTAACAACTAAATGAATAACCCAAAACTCTCTTGAGAATAGCTCTTAACCCCAACTACGTAATATGCTCTAAATGATGTACATTGAGCCAACATCTTCACCAAAGAAAATGACATCATTTGTAAATTGTAATCAGCAACATGCACTAATGGATTCATTTCAACTAAGCAAGACCCCATGATTTTTCTCATTTTTATGATTTTTTACGTAAAAATTATAGTGTCTTATGACTCTCGCACCCACTCTCTTTATTTATATGTGTTGAATTTTCGCTCAAAGCTAAAATTTTACCCTCTTTATCTCTCTACTACCGTGAATGTTTTCGGAAGCAACAAGGATTAATCACATTGTGATCGTAACAATATAATGACTCTTATATATATATAACATGGATGCATACAAGAGAGAGAAAAAGAACAAGAAAATAAGTTTTTTGTATCACTTAATATAGACTATCGGTCAATTTAGGACAAGCACAAACTCTAAGGCTTCAAAAAGTATAATATTCATCAATCTTTTCTTTACATCCTTTTTACATTGCCTATATATAATTATCAAGTAGAAAACTAGATAAATCTAAAAAGTTCTAGAATCCTATAACAAATTTGTAACAAACTAAAATAAGCTAATCCTAAAGAATGCTTTAACTAATATGTTCCACATCAATAATTTAATTATTAAAAAAATTAAAAAGATAAACTCAAACTTGACTCGAATCGAATGACTTTACCCAATCTAATAATCCTTTTGAGTTAAAACAAAATTGTAACTTATTAACTATAAAGTTTAGATTAAGTAATAAAAGAAAAATATATCAACAAGCAAAAGAATTAAAAAAAAAGAAAAAGAAAATTAAATGAGTCATTAGTAAATTCACATGTCAATCCAAATCACACCTATAAATTATAAGAGTCAGAATTCTGGACCCGAATCTAACTTGGGTCGACCCAAATTCAAATTTTTTAGTTGGGATATTATATTAGATTATTGAGTTGGCTCATTGATTGACAATATGAATAAGCAATAGTTAGAGAATGTTCTTATATAATAATGCTGAGGTCAAGTCAACGTCATTTAAATCTCTAAGATCTCTATTTTAGTCATATTTGTATGTGTTTGTAAAGCCTAGCAAGATTCCTCCCCTATGGCTGCTTAACAACAGTAAATGGCAAGCAGGTCCTTCCTGCAATGAAAATAACAGGGCGGACAGCCTTCTAGTTCTCTATAAACAGACCCACTCCTTCCTCCTCTTCCCCACCACCGCTCTCCAAACAAGATAGCAAGAAGTAAAAGAATAAAATGGCAATTGGTCGAGAGCAAGGGAAAGCTGCCTACTTGGAGGAGGCAGGAGCCTTCGAGATCTCCGCAAGCCGCCGCGACGATCTGGACGACGATGGAAGAGCCAAAAGAACAGGTTCATCGGTCTCTTCGTCATTTTTCCTCTTAATGTCTGATCTTTTCTTTGAAACTCTGTGATTTGGTTACTAATGGAGGTTTTGGAGGTTTACAGGGAACTTTGTGACTGCTAGTGCCCATATCATAACAGCAGTAATCGGCTCTGGCGTTCTGTCGCTGGCCTGGGCCATCGCACAGCTTGGCTGGGTTGCCGGACCAGCGGTGCTCGCCGCCTTCTCCCTCATCACCTGGTTCTGCTCTTCTCTTCTTGCCGACTGCTATCGCTCTCCTGACCCCGTCCATGGCAAGAGGAACTATAGCTACATGTCTGCTGTCAAAGCTAATCTCGGTAAAGTTCAAATTTTGAACTTATTTTTCTTTTAACTTCAGTTAATCTTCTCAACTTTTCCACAACTTTGATAGCATGTTTGTTTCTCTTCTTCTTCTTCTCCTCTTTTAGGGGGCGTGAAATTCAAACTTTGTGGACTGGCCCAGTATGTGAATCTTGTCGGGGTGACCATAGGCTACACAATCACAACAGCTATCAGCATGGCGTGAGCAACTATAGCACAATATATATATATATGAAATTGTTTATCAGAAGCAATACTATGCGCCATGGTTGTTTACCTTTGATATTTCTGAATTGATCAGGGCCGTTAAGAGGTCTAATTGCTTCCACCGGCACGGCCACCGTGCGGCTTGCAAAGTATCGAATACAACATACATGATTGCTTATGCCTGCATACAGATAGTACTGTCTCAAATACCAAACTTCCACAAGCTTTCATGGCTATCTCTCGTCGCTGCCGTCATGTCGTTTGCCTATTCTTCTATTGGCCTCGGTCTCGCTATTGCCAAGATAGCAGGTGAACTATGTACTTCTTTTTAGTTCTTGGAACCAATTAAAAATGGAGAAACTAGAAAAAAATTGTCTTTTGGGGTGCAGAAGGTTCAAATGCGAGGACTAGCTTAACTGGAGTAACCGTTGGAGTTGATGTAACTGGAACTGAGAAGGTCTGGAGGACGTTTCAAGCTCTGGGAGACATAGCCTTTGCTTACTCTTTCTCTAATGTTCTGATTGAGATCCAGGTATCATTTGGTAAACTTTTTTTCCTTTTGATTTTGAAGCAGAAAAGCTAACTTTTGAAGGGAATCTTCATATAATAATATATAGTTCGAAGACAGCAAATGAAGATGCCAGCAAAAAAGATTTTGATTCATGCTTTTGATATGCCCTTTGTCCTCTGTGTTGCTTTCATATTTGATTCAACACATGCAGTTTGGGCATTCTTTAATTAGTACAAAAGGCAATATTGATGCAATGGTTAAATTAAATTTCATGTGTAGGACACACTGAAATCAAGTCCTCCAGAAAACCAGGTGATGAAGAAGGCCACCTTTGTTGGTGTTACAACCACAACCATCTTCTACATGCTGTGTGGAGTGTTAGGCTATGCCGCATTTGGAAACGATGCACCGGGCAATTTCCTCACTGGATTCGGCTTCTACGACCCGTTCTGGCTCGTCGATATCGGGAACATCTTCATTGCCATCCATTTGATCGGTGCTTATCAGGTAACACCTGCTTCCATGGGCCATCAAACTAAATTCATTTTTTTTTAATCAAAAGCACAGCTAAAGAGTTCAAATTTGAACAGGTGTTCTGCCAACCAATCTTTCAGTTTGTAGAGGGCCTGGCCCAAAGCCGATGGCCAGATAACTCTTTCGTCACAAGCGAGCGCATAATCAAACTTCCAATGCTGGGCGACTATCCCTTTAGCTTCTTCCGTTTGGTCTGGAGAACATCTTATGTAATTGTGACAGCAGTGGTTGCTATGATCTTTCCCTTCTTCAATGACTTTCTTGGATTGATTGGAGCTCTCGCCTTCTGGCCTTTGACGGTCTTCTTCCCTGTTGAGATGTACATAAAACAAGCAGATATCAAGCGGTGGTCGAAGACATGGATTTGGCTTCAGATCTTGAGCATGACTTGTCTCATGATATCCATTGCTGCAGCTTGTGGGTCAATTCAGGGGCTCATCCATGCACTTGCAGGTTACAAACCATTCAAGAGCTAGTAGTTCTGAGCTCATAGATTCGCATATTGAACAGTAGAAAAGAGAAGCATTTGTAGTTCTGTAACTTCTATACAGAGTTGACATCCACCTAATAATCTGATTAAATTAAGCTGTAAGTTGGAGCTAGTAATGAAAAATTTGGCTTCAAACGCAAATGGTATAAGAAAATACTGAAAAGTAGTCTTGTCTGATCGCAATCCTTAGTGGGGTGCTACAGGGCCCATAAAAGAATCTTTTTTTGTTTCATCTCTCAATCATTTCTTCCATGTTCAGCAATAGAGGACCGTTATAAATCAAAATATTGAGTTGATGAAGATGGCACATAATTTATAAAAAAGTACTGGTAAATTAGAGACCATTATTTATTTATTTATTTCTGAGAAAGCTGAGCACACAAATATAATTTTTTTATTGAAAATTTAACTTTATGCTTGTTAACATTTTTCAAAGTTGTTAACAAATAGTTATTATAGCTAACTTTTCATTAGGTCATATATATTATACCTGAACTGATTTTAACAAAATTAGATTTAATAAAGCCTATTTTTGAAGAAAAAATTGGCCTAAAACAAATAAAAAATATGTTTAGAATACGATTAATCAAGCTTAATGGTCAAAATTATGATCGAGCATGTTAGAATTTGTTTCAGTTTCCCGTTGGTTTTATATTTTATTTTTAAGCTGAAATTTTGTATTTGAACATCTAATATAAATTTGATTAAAAAAAGATTTTAATTTTTTTTTTAAATATATTTTAAGATGAATACAAAACATGAACAATTAATAATAAATTTATTTTAAATTTTATTAAAAGATTATGATTATAATATTTACAAAAAAAATTAAATTTTTATTTGGGAAATTTCAATTTATTTTCATTTCTTAATTTTGAAATGTCAAATGAGTTATATTATTAAATTTTAAATATTTAAATTACAATAAATAAATAAATAAAATAATTAATTTGTTGAATTCCAGATAGATATTTAGGTATGCCATTATGTTTTATGAAATATAATAAATTAACATATGAGATTACTAGCTTCAAACATCCCTTAAAATTTATTTTGACTGATCGAAACATATTCTACAAATGATGGTCCTAAAAAATTTTAATCAACCTTCTAGTAAAATGTTAATCAAGGTTCAATGAATGTTCAATGAAACTTCAAACAAAATTCAAATTCATTGTTTTGCACTCCATCTCTTATGTGATTGACTATTTTGAGTTTTCTTGCTTCTAAATATAGATGTATGCTCTGGTCATACATAGAGCAAGTGTTGTGACGAAGAAAATTATGAGGCAATTTGAGTCTGATATCATCATTGTGTTGAATATGAAAGACAAACACACAATATCATACATGTAGAGATACATTACATTGTCTTTTATACATGACTTGCTACTTTTCGAGGATGCATAGATTAAAATCAATGCAAAGCTTGGTAGTCTGAACTCACAAAAATAAATTGAAATACATATGCTATTGCTTAATGAAAATGATTTTAATCTCTAATAATCTTCATAAGCATATTTTATAGTGATATAGATTGATCACATTTAAGCTCTTAATAACAATTTAGTTGTGCTATAATGACATAAATGTGATCTTTGTGGGCTTCAAAAAATCGCATCACAGCCTCTTTGTGACCCCTTTCTTTCTTTTCAAGGCGTCGAGGAGAGTTTTAACGCTTAAGTTCTAAGGTAAAGGTAGATTGGGTTTTAAATAAGACACTACGTAGAGATTTTGTCCTAATTTTAAGAGGACTTTATGATCTAAGTTCAGGTTTCCTATAGGCACAAGCCCCTATAGTTAATTACCCCTCCCGATAACGAGAGATAACTTTCGATTAAGACTAATCATCAAACAGATACAGAGGATCTGGCATATAGCAGGATGATTTAGGTATTTAAAATTTAATATTTAAAATTAAAAATTCACCACCTCATACTTAAAGAAGGTGGGGGAATGATGAACCTAATATAGATCACATGGTTCCGTCGTCCTAGGTCATGCATCATGGTCCCTGATCTACTTAGTCAGAGGAGGTAGTCAACCCAACGTAACTAAATAATCCTTGTCGGCAACCTTGGGTTGCTTCGTCCAAGGGTACCTTATAGACTCAGGGTGAATATTTGTCTAAGGGGACAAATTTGAGCCCATCTTAGCTAGTAGAGGGCTTTGTGTCTTAAAAAAATTAAAAAATAAAATAAAATAAAATAAAAAAATAAGGCTTTGTGACTTATCGATTATATCCTATTGATTTATATCTCATGAATTTGAAGCCATTTGGGATCATACGGGCTCTGATCATGACAATAATTTAGTTGTGCTATTTGGCGGCAAAACCATCCTGTTTAGAGGGTTTCAATCATAACAGTTTACATGTGGTGTCATTTGGCGACAATACCATTAGTGTGGGGCCATTTGACAAGCAAAACCATCGGTTAGAAGACATGTGCCATATTTTTACTGCTAAGAGACAAATTGAGAATGAATCCTAGTGATATTCTCAACCGAACGGTTGTTCTTTGTGAGCTAGAATAATTTTCTAACTTGTCCACCTCAGCAAATTATTACATGGGTGGGTGTGTATTTTGCTTTAAGTGTTCGATGGTTATTTTTCAATTTTAAATATCTTAGACTTTTGGTGATTTTTGAGTTTTGTATTTTCATGAGAATTTGGGAGGTATATTTATGCTTGTGGTCCTCTATGGTTAAGATTTTCTATAAACACGGTCATCATCGAGGTATTCATGAGTGGCTTCATTTTATTGGTGGAACCTTATCGACTTTATCAACTTATCGATAGATGATCAGGTTCATCATCGCCTTCATGCCTTTATTAATGATTTTTTCTTATTATAAACATTGAAGGTCTAATATAAATGTATAAAACAAATATCAAGGTCGATGTCGTGGCCGTATATTTGTTTGATGGTTCGAGCCGTGTCGACAATGATTCATTCACATAGGAGGATCAGGTTCGAACATATCTTGTGAAATGCATTCAATACGTGCGAACTCAGACGTCACATGTGCGCATATGACACGCTTGTCGAGGCTCATGCAGTATATAGTTTTGAATGCATTTCGCAAGATGTGTTTGTGTAGTAGTTTTATGTTTATAGTGCAACGGGTATATAGGACGCATTTGCATGTTAACATATTGTGTATTTATATGTAGCATGTATGTTGGTATTTTGAATTTGCATGTTGCTTAATCGTGCTTGTATGATATGTTGTTATGTAGTATAGCGGCTTAACACATGATGTATTTGCTTGATATTTTGCATGTTGCAATGTGTGTATACCCTACATACCTTCCAAAACATTTATTAAATATGTATACATGTTCATAACACATTAGCACATGTTTCAATGGATGAGGGAGGGTGTTTTTTTCAATGATAAAACATGATGAATAATGCAAATGATAATCATTTGGAAGGTGCACGATGCTCTATTTAAGGCCTGTAGACGCATTATGTCTGCTTGTACAAGTTTTGTAGAGCCAGTGGCATTATGGTATGTTGTTGGTTGTCTGTTGCTTTATGCAGGTAGACTATTGTGCACTAATGAGTCTCCAGCAATTGCTCATAAATAGCATGTTGTGTACACGACAGGTCTCCTGCAATAACCCGTAGGTGCTTGCATTTGTTGTAACCCTGCATTCACCATGGCCCTGTGGCATTTTGCTCGTATATGGAATGTAGTGTGTACGACATGTCTTCTACAATGGTCCATAGGGGCTTACATTTCTCATCAAACTCTCCCTACATGTTGATTATTGTCGTTAGCAGGGAATTGTTACGTATATTTGCAAGCTGACTGATGTTGAACATAAGAAAACTACTACATCCACAGCTCACTTATTGTCATTGTTTCTTGTTCGTATATGTAGGATGACCGCCGTGCTTGTTTGCATTAACATAGATTCATGATGCGTTGTGTACATTTATAAAAGGGTTTTGTTGTTTGTAAGTGAAGCATTGTATGCATTACAAGTGCTCTGCTATCACCCGCAGGTGAGTTGCGTTGAATGCAAATCTTCTAACACCACTCATAGATATATGAATTTGTTGTATTTCTCCAGATCTTACTTATAAATAACATGTAGCATGCATGACGAGTCTCCTACGACGGCTTTTAGGCCCTTGCATTTGCTGCACATAGGCCTTCTTTGCTTGCATTTTGGTTAATGTGTTTGCTCGACATTAGGGGTGTTAATATTGGACCCGACCCGAAAACCCGACCCGAAAATTTCGGGTTTGGGTTGACCCGAACCCGAAACGGGTCGGGTTCGGGTTCAATAATTTGACCCGTTTCAAAAATCGGGTTGGGTTCGGGTTGACTCGTCAACCCGAAATTGACCCATAAATGACCCGTTTTTGACCCGATAACCCATTTTTGACCCAGCAACCCGAGATTGACCCGTTCTTGACCCTAAAAAAGGAGTTTGACCCATTTTTTGACCCGAAAACTAGCAGTTCTTTGTTCGAATAGGATCATTCAGGTCGGGTCGGGTTGACCCGGACTCGAAGCGGGTCGGGTTCGGATCCGGAAATTGATTAAGATTCGTACAATCCTTGTCATTGATCAAAATTTTTATCGCATATGATTTCTGTTAGCACGGCATTAGTTATCTAAGCATGCTCTTATTACTGTTTTACCACATTGTAATATATAAATACTCTTGTAATTACTTTTCATAATACAATTTCAATTTTCCCTCTCTTCGGCTTCTTGAGAAAGCTTTCTCCTCTTCCGCTCAAGGCGTCATCGCCTCTCTGACATGGTATCAGAGCTACCAATGGGGGATCAAGATTCGATTTCTTCCCTCCCTCCCTCCTCCTCTCTCGCCGCAAACAACAACGAAGCTGAAATCTCTATACCGGCGACCTTAAAATTTCTCATATCTCACATCAAGAATCTTATTCCACATCCCCTTACATCCGAGAATTACGCTATCTGGCGAATTCAGGTTCTTCAGCAGTTCACGGCCACAGGGTACGCCGGACACCTCTCCGGAGCAGCTGCACCTCCGGCCGACATTGCGTCCTCTGCTCACGCGAACTGGCGTCTCGCGGACAGTCTGATTCTATCAGCATTGTTCTCCACAATCTCTCCTGCGATCCTACCTTACGTCATTACCGCGACCTCCGCGTGCGAAGTATGGTCGACTCTTGAACGTCGGCTACAGCCGTCCAGCCGTTCCCGGGTTATGCAACTCAAGAACGAGCTCCATCACGTTCAAATGAAGAACTCAACTATGCAACAATACCTTTCGCAAATCAAGAACATCGTGGATA